ACATGACAGGACTGGAAAAGTAGTTTTTGGATATAATAGAAGCTAATTTGATGTTGGTCTATACTAATAACTTGTGTGCAAATTTTCAGATCATTCCCTCACCTGTTTTTTCCCCTGCACAAACATCTTTATTTGTGCATAAATCTAAATTTTAGGCTAAGAATTGCGCATAATCAATTTTGATTGAACTATATTTCTGTTTCAGTATTTTGAAAATACTCAAATACATGTATTCAATATTTTTTCACCACTTACCATGTCAATAAAAGTTAAAGACATTTCTTTGATGTAACTGTAAAGACAACATTTTGAAATCTGAAGTCAATCCCTTCAGTAACAAGAGCTACCTCCAGGCTGGGGTAATGGTCAATTTTACTTTTTCTATATATAAGCTAACAAATAAACAATTTAAACAAACTTGTAAAAAGTTAAATTAAAGAAAAAAAACAGTTTTCCACCTTTTGTTATTTTAATAGGTCTGTCTACTAGCACACTTGTTGTTTTGTCCAAGTATGAATCATGTCCATAAACATTGATGATAAAGTTAAGAAAACATTAGCAAATTTCATTCATCTGACCTTAATAGTCAAGGTCATTTAAAGGTCATATCTAAATTATTCAACATATATGTTTGGTCACACAAGTGTTGTTTTGTCAACATTTGAATCAAATATGTATATAAATAACAAAATTATGACATTTCCTTACACAAAATTCAAGAATTTGACCATGACAAGGTCATTTGTAGGTCAAGGTCAGTTTAACCGTTTAGAAGACTGTTTTGTCCAAGTATGAAGATAATCCATTGATTGATTACCAGCAATTATAGCAATAATCAGTGAAAATTCAATAATTTTACATTCAAGATTAAAGACATACATGAGTTAAGATCAGTTTCAGTTTAATATACATGAAGGGCATGAATTAAAAGATGTTGTGTCTAAATTTGAAGTTAATCCATTTATAAACAAGCAATTATCATAGTATTGCAAGCAATACAGAAGTCCCCTACCGATAAGAACCCCAGCAATATTCTGAAGGGCCGTTGGCCATTCACTTATGCCATTGAATAAATGAACTTAAATCTTTTAAGCTCTTAATTTGTCTGTATCATAAATAATGTGTTAAGTTTTTTTCTGTCAAGTAAGGAAATTATGTTAATACAACAGGTAATCCAAAAAGATCCGTTTTATTTTCTCAGGATGAATATGTATAACTAATGTTTCAACATTTCTCTATATGAAGTAAATTTGTTGGAAAAGTTCTTTAAGTGATCTCAGAAAATGGACAGACAGACTGAGGGACAGACACTCTGAAAATAAGTCTTTAAAAATTCCCTGGTTTTTACCAGGAAAAACAAAATTCTTACATCAAAGAGAAGATAACTCTTGCAAATAAAGATTCAAGATTGTCGTACATGATGTGAGTGTAACATTAAGCACAATTATCTTAAATTTAATGAAGATACCATTTATAGTTACAAAGAAGAAAAGTAAAACAAGAGTTGTCGGAGGACAACGGCGCTCAACTATTCGAAAAAGTTGTCACAAGGGTGTTTCATTGAGTATAATAATAACTGCTTTATGACCTATATGAATACATAAAATTGTCCGAAAAGGTACAAAGGCTTGTTATTAAGATGTTTTATCTAGTAAATCACTGCTTTATTATAATCATGAATGCATTAAATTATCCCAATAAAAGGCACAAACCCTTCAGTAGTTATGGAGATACCAGCTTACAAGCAAAAACTTTACCAAGTATTTCTAAGTCAAAAAAGGGGCATAATTATGCAAAAAAGCAAATCAGAGTTATTGCACTTGTGCCAATCATGTTAGATTATCACAGAGAACAAATGTGTGAAGTTTCAATCCATTCCCTCCAATTGTTATGAAGATACCAGCTTACAAGCAAAAACTTAACCAAGAATTTCTAAGTTGAAAAAGGGGCATAATTTTTCAAAAAAGCAAATCAGAGTTATGGGACTTGTCCAATCATGTAAGATAATCACAGAGAACAAGTGTGTGAAGTTTCAGGTCATTCCTTTCAGTAGTTATGGAGATACTAGCTTAAACGCAAAAACTTAACCAAGAAATTTTAAAAAGTCGAAAAAGGGGCATAATTATGCAAAAAAGCAAATTAGAGTTATTGGACTTTAAGAAAAAATCTAAGTTCAGAGGAGATAATTCTGGAAAATTTGGTGCTAGAGTTAAAAACCTTGTCATGTATGATGTGGTTAATGAGAAGGAACATATATTTGAAAATTTAAGACTATCCCTTATAAAATAAAGAAGTTAGAAAAAAACACACATTTTTTACGTGAATTAACAGCACAAAAATGACAGCTCTCCAAATACTTTGTATAGTTGAGATAATAAAATTATTTACCAGTGTACTATCACACGCCTGGCAAACTGTCGCTCCACTTCAAAATTGTGGTGTACGGTAAAACGAGCGAACGGCATTTCCGAGATAGAACGGAAGGCCGATTTAAACGCCTAATTGTAAGTATTGTTTATGTTTTTGTCTTGTTGTTCATTTAAGTTGTATTTTTTCGAAAAACGGAAAATGTAGTTCCGTGTAGGATTGATTTAGGCTTCCAATGATCTAAGCTGTTACAAAAAGAAAATTATATTACGCCCGGGAGAACTTTTCTCCCTGACGAAGCGAACGACGATTTGTAGAATATTGAACTTCCCAACCATAGAAATGCCATACCCTTCGGATTTCTTGAAAAAGTGTATTAGAAAAATATCAATCCTTAATAAGAACTTGTCGTTAGTGCAACATAAATGACTCCTGAAGGATTTCTTAAATTTTTTAATCGATATTTTTCGAAAGTAGTGGAGCGAAAGGGCAAGAGATGGAGCAAAAGGTTCGATGTTGAGTGCAAGGCGATATTATTTTGACGTATTAGGAGGAGCGTAGTCTATGATTTTTTATATATAAAAGCTATAGAAGTTAAAATAGACATGATCAAGTGTTGAAACCGAGATATATATATATATACCTTTTAAAGACAACTAATAAAGTGTGATATCCTTTCAACGACTATAGCGTAATAAATGTAATCGCGAAGGTGTCACCTATGGCTGCCGTTGTTCCCGCCAAAATGTTGTTTTTTTTCGAAAAGTTAGATATTCAAGGTGCAGAACAGAAACAAAATTATGCAATGCATGGAACTCATTAAATTAAATGAATCACTACTACCGAGTTCAGTTCACAATGACTTTCTGTAATTAATAGCTCTAACGTACCTGTTTAGAGCAAACACAAATAAGCCACGTTTTCATGAATTTGTAAGGTGGGAAATCGCTATGAAAATGGTTGACAAAGTGTCAGTCGTTATAAGGATATAACACGTGTCCCAGTTATGTTTCTAGATACTTCCTCCCTTATTTAGCATTGTTGTTTAGTTTTTTATTTTCCTCTCAAAGTGTAAATAGAAATTTCTACTATAACTAGGTCTATTTATATTATTGATAATTTTAGTGCATACACGACTGAGCTCTGCCTTTTTTTATTACGTTCGTTTTGTTCATCGATAAACAAACAAAATCTTAGATATTTATTTTAATATAATTTTTTCTTAAACCAAGATTTGTACTGCAGTGTTTGATTATAAAAGTAAAAATTTCTATTTACACTTTGAGAGGAAAATAATAAACTAAACAACAATGCTAAATAAGGGAGGAAGTATCTTGAAACATAACTGGAACACGTGTTATATCCTTATAACGACTGACACCTTGTCAACCATTTTCATAGCGATTCCCAACCTTACAAATTCATGAAAACGTGGCTTATTTGTGTTTGCTCTGAACATGTACGTTAGAGCTGTTAATGACAGAAAGTCATTGTAAACTGAACTCGGTTATAGTGATCTATTTAATTTAATGTGTTCCATGCATTGCATAATTTTGTTTCTGTTCTGCACCTTGAATATCTAACTTTTCGAAAAAAATAACATTTTGGCGGAACAACGGCAAGCCATAGGTGACACCTTCGCGATTACATTTATTACGCTATAGTCGTTGAAAGGATATCACACTTTATTAGTTGTCTTTAAAAGGTATATATATCTCGGTTTCAACACTTGATCATGTCTATTTTAACTTCTATAGCTTTTATATATAAAAAATCATAGACTACGCTCCTCCTAATACGTCAAATTAATATCGCCTTGCGCTCAACATCGAACCTTTTGCTCCATCTCTTGCCCTTTCGCTCCACTACTTTTGAAAAATATCGATTTAAAAATTTAAGAAATACATCAGGAGTAATTTATTTTGCAAGAAGGACATGTTCTTATTACGGGTTGATAATTTACTAATACACTTTTTCAAGAAATCCGAAGGGTATGGCATTTCTATGGTTGGGAAGTTCAATATTCTACAAATCGTCGTTCGCTTCGTCAGGGAGAAAAGTTCTCCCGGGCTTAATATAATTTTCTTTTTGTAACAGCTTAGATCATTGGAAGCCTAAATCAATCCTACACGGAACTACATTTTCCGATTTTCGAAAAAATACAACTTAAATGAATAACAAGACAAAAACACAAACAATACTTGCAATTAGGCGTTTAAATCGGCCTTCCGCTCTATCTCGGAAATGCCGTTCGCTCGTTTTACCGTACACCACAATTTTGAGGTGGAGCGACAGTTTGCCGGGCGTGTATCAGTCTATCAATATTTCAATTGTAAACATTTTAAACGGTATTAGTACACATGTATTTAAAACTACTTGCACACATAAAGCAGACATTACCTGCACTAAACAAGTATAAAAAAAATCTGTGAAATTTTTGAAAATAGTCTCATTAAATAAGAGCTTTCTTTCACTTTCAAGTCAGTGTTAATATAGTTTATCTTATCAAGACAGAATTACTGCCTGCAGTTTAAGACTGACACCATTCTCATGTTAAAAAACATTTACCACAATATAGAATACATTGTAATAATTTTCCTTTATAAAAAACTTAAATGTCAATAAATACTTACGAAAGAAAACTAGTTTATGTCCACTGGGTAGAATAATGTTTATAATGAATGTAAGATCTTTATATAAATGCATAGAGAATGTCAACAACATTTGATATGCTTCAATTCCTTCAATGCCTACCTCCACATATCGCTAAAGTTCACAGTAAAGTGTACCTTACATATCGCTAAAGTTCACAGTAAAGTGTACCCACGGCTATTAAAACATATGACAGTTTAAATGTCTGTAACATTATACCTAAGTTTCACAAATTAAAATAAACAAAACTGTTCAGCATTTAGTTGTTATAAGAAAGAGAAGTATCAATGCTATATGAAGTTTTGTAGGACGAGTTTCAAACACATTTATTGTATTATATTGATTCAGGAAATTCCATTAATAGATTCTTTCATTTCCTCCAATTATGAAAAGCAGAACATACCATATATTCAAAATGTACAATCATTTCTTTAACAGTATTGAGATTAACAACAATTTAAATTTTCACAGTATCGATAGAAAAACGACAGCAACAAACAAGACAGCCATTTTTTTGTAGATGTCAACTTAGCAATGACACATATGTAAGCTTTTGGCATATTAGTTTCATAAAAGAAGACTTAAATGTGTCTTCTTACACTAGCCTTTATAAACTAAGTGAGCCCTGGGGTGTGGTAAAATTTTGACCCCAGGCACATGATTGATGTAATTTTTGTATTAGACCACAAGGTGATGCTACATGCAAAATCACCTACGGGCATGTCGACTTATGATACTTATGGTCTACTAGGCAATGCTACAAGATAAGTTTTTTTGGTATAATAGTTTCACAAAAGAAGACTTAAGGTAGACCATGGCTAATGGGCACTATCAGGAACTGTAAAATTGACAACATAGGATAGTTATATGTCTTAAATGCAGGAATTTTTTTTTCAGGATTTTGGGAACATGACCCATACTCATGGAATTGGGAATTTTAGCGATGTTTTGTTAAAAATTTGAAATAGTTGCATGATTGAAATTTTGCGGTGATTAAATGAATCATATGCGAACATTCAACTGTCTTAACGATGGCATTTTCAAACATTTAAGCACTATTACAGTGATAAGCCCTTATTTTCAAAAATTTTAGAATTCTTTTTCATTTTGTAACTTTCAATTGGGAATATTTTCCTGTGGATTGGGAAAATAATATACTATTTCAATTGGGAATATGACCCAATAACGAATATAAAATAAGCCAAACACTAGAAATGTGTTGTCACACCACGGATGCCCCTGCATGCAGCCAAAATTTCAGATGTTACAATATTTATTTCCAAATTTGTTTGCATAAACTATTTTTTTCATTTTAACTTCTAAGCCCTTAAAACTATTCAATGTAAACACAAACCATTTTTATACAAAGTTCAAGGTACTGAAACTTATTTCAGTGTTAACTTTTTGTAAATTGCATATTGCATATTTGTAGCCAAAATAATGACTACATACAATTCTACAAAAGTATGAGTGCTAAAAATTCAAAATTTTTCCAACATTCAAGAGAGATAACTTTGTACAAAATCATTGAACCATGACAAAATTTGAACTTATTACTGCTTATTTCTAAGATATATGTATATGTCAAATTTGACCTGAATGTGTTACAACCATTGGGGAGATAATGAACGGAAACTAAAAATTTCTGATTTTTTTCAAAGTTCAAGAGGGATACCTCTGTCAGCTATCATCAAACCATGACCAAAGTCGAACTTGACCTGCACATTCCTTTGACGTATCCATATGTCAAATTTGAGTAGAATGTGTAAAATCGTTGGGGAGATAATGAACGGAAACTGAAAATTTCTGATTTTTTTCAAAGTTACTACTAATGCATCAAACTGGAAACCTTTATATATCTTTTGTACAGCATTCATGTAAAGTTTGGTCAAAATTCATCAAATGGTATAGGAGGAGTAATAATAATAGTCAAAATGAATGCAAAAATTAAACATATTCCCAAAGAGTATTTCGAATATAGTTTGCCGAGTTCTGTAAAAATACAGAAACAGTGCCATTTTTCTTATTTGAATAATGACTTATAGATGAAAGCCTGGTTTCCAGAGTATTTTAGAATCAGTAAGAAAACTGTGAAGAATCGGTAAGAAAACTGTGAAGAATCGGTAAGAAAACTGTGAAGAATTGGTAAGAAAACTGTGAATAATCAATAAGAAAACTGTGAAGAATCCATAAGAAAAATTGTGAAGAGACTGTAAGAAAACAGAATAACAAAACTGTAAAGAGTCAAACAAGAGCCACCGCCGGGCGGGGGCAACACTCGACTTTTTACTTTCTCTATAAGCAAACAAAGAAATGCTTGAACAAAATCTTAACGTTAATCCTTTTTATAAAAGTAATCGGTCTGTCTTGACACATAAGTTTTGTCTATATATTTTGTATATATAAATATACTAAATTATATATATAAATAGAAACACACAATTCTATAAATAGAAAATTCTATAAATAGATACATGTGGTAGAGTCACAGGGTGGAGTCACGTGGTGTAGTCACGTGGTAAAGTCACGTTGTGGTGTCACGTTGTGGAGTCACATGGTGGTGTCACGTGGTGGAGTCACGTGGTAAAGTCAAATGGTGGAGTCACGTGGTAAAGTCATGTGGTGGAGTCATGTGGTGAAGTCACGTGGTGGTGTCACGTGGTGAAGTCATGTGGTGGTGTCACGTGGTAAAGTCAAGTGGTGGAGTCACGTGGTGGAGTCACGTGGTAGAGTCACGTGGTGGAGTCACGTGGTGGAGTCACGTGGTGGAGTCACGTGGTGAAGTCACATGGTGAAGTCACGTGGTGAAGTCACATGGTGGAGTCACGTGGTAAAGTCACATGGTAAAGTCACATGGTGAAGTCATGTGGTGAAGTCATGTGGTGGAGTCACGTGGTAGAGTCACGTGGTGGAGTCATGTGGTGGAGTCACGTGGTGGAGTCACTTGGTGGAGTCACTTGGTGAAGTCACATGGTGAACTCACGTGGTGAAGTTACATGGTAAAGTCACATGGCGGAGTCACGTTGTAAAGTCACTAGGTAAAGTCAGGTGGTAAAGTCACATGGTAAAGTCACGTGGTGGAGTCACGTGGCACAAATACATATACATAAAAAGAAATTATCTCTGGTGAAAAAAAGACAAATTGTACAGGTAATAGTGTAAAGATATATTGTCAAATCATGTTCCAAACAGTTACAAACAACCGTCATTTTCCCAATGACAAACAAACAAAAGCAGTGAAGTTAAGAAAACAGCATAATTATGTCAAAATGTAATTAAGAGTGGAAAACCTTGGCATACTGAGCTTACTTGTGACCCTTCATATATAGTTTCAAGTGAATATTTGTAAAGGTAAATTTCTATGAAATATTTATTAGTGGTAAGTATGCAGTGTCTTATGAAATATTTACATGTATAACTGGTAAGTATACAGCATATTAAAATTGAAATAAATGGGAAAATAAATGTCCAAATGTGACTGAAATATTTAGGTTAGTTCTTTAACAGTATAGATATTGTGGTAAATTATGAACTGAATAAACAAGTGAATATCTGTTCTAGTTTTAGAAACATTTAAGTATTTAATTAATGGTTACATCAAAACATTTTCTAAGTCTAAAAGGGGCATAACTTGTGTCATAATTCAATGGAATTGTAGAATTTTCGTCATCTGAGCTTGCTTGTAACCATCAATATAAATTTTAAGTTTCAAGTAAATATCTGTTCTTGTTTAAGAAATATTATAGTAAATAAATTTAAAGACATATGTATTTGAAGTTTTAAATGATTATCTGTTCTAGTTTTAGAAGTATTCAAGTACATGTTAAAATTTAAGAACATTTTCTAAGTCAATTTTGACCTTCAAGTGTGACCTTGACCTTAAGCCGGCACAAAGGTAACATGGGTTCTGCACATAACCTTTTTGAGGTGAACATTTGAGAAAAGTTTGAAGAAAATCTTCCATTAGTATAGGATTTACAGAGCGGACACAACATATTGTCTAATAATATTTTGATTGTATGTAAATTTGAAGACTTAAAAAGGGGCATAACTTTGTCAAAATGCAATACAGAGTTATGAAATTTGACCTGCATATCTTAATTGTGACACTTCATATATATTTTTAATTTTGAACAAATACCTTTTCTAGTTTCAGAAATATTCAAATACATGTTAAAATTTAAGAATATTTTTGACGTTCAAGTGTGACCTTGACCTAAAGCAAAAGGGTAACATGGGTTCTGCACATTATCTTGTTAAGGTGAACATTTGAGCCAAGATTGAAGAAAATCTAATTAGTGTAGGACTACATAGTGGACACGACATACTGTCTAATATTTGATTGTTTGATATTTGACCTTTAATTTTGACCTTGACCTTGAGCTGACACATCCCCTTGTTGAGGTGAACATTTGAGCCAAGTTTGAAGAAAATCCTTCAATTGGTATAGGATTTATAGAGCGGACACTATGATGGAGATGGACCGACCGACTGACCTACGTGACAGGGCGAATCCATTATAGCCCCCCTCCCCCCGCCCCACATTTTGTGGTGGGGGTATAATAAAGAAAACTCACTGATGTTGTTAACATATAAAGTTTCAAGTCTTTGGGCGGACAAGCTTTTTTTAGTCAAGGAGCCTGTGACCTAGACCTAATGGCCTCAAAATCAATAGGGGTCATCTACTTATCATGACCAATCTCAATACCAAACATGAAGACTGTGTGCCAAAGGATTATTAAGTTATTGTGTGGATGATGGACTGCCAGACGACCAGACCGACAAGCTAATTCCAGTATACCTGGAACAACTTTGTTGTGTGGATAACAATATACATGTTTTTCAAAAAATTGTTAACTGTTAAGACAAGTCATCAATGAGATTTTAAGGTGAACAAGAAGGCCATGATGGCCCTAAATCCCTCACCTGAATATAAAAACTCTGCATAACAAGCAACAAGTAATATTGTAAACTATTATAAAAATCTAAATCTTAAACTGATATCACAAAGTTCATATTTGTATCTGAAATACTGCATGTGTAAAAACATTACTGGTTGCTATTGCTAAGGGAGAACAACAGTTCCAAAAGATGTTTGCATATTAGGAAAATCAATGACCCCTGGGGCA